AGGTTGCAGCTGCTGGGTTCTTTGTGGTTGCTCCTGATTTCTTCAAGGGAGATCCATACATTCCGGATGATGCTAATAGGCCGATTCGAACTTGGTTACAAGATCATGGACCTGTTAGTTCTTGCTTTTCATTTCACTACCGTTAGATTTTCTGTATCAATTATTATCCATCCACTGCTCCTGGTATTGTGTTTAATTTTTAGGAGAAATCTGGGAGTTAAATTGAGATGGGGTTGGTGAGGATTGACCAACTCGTGTGCTTCCTCACTCACTTACTCCTCGGCTTATTTAAATAAACATTTTGTCAGTTTTAATATGGGGTGGACTGTGGCCATCACGTTGCTGTGTTTCAAAGATCGCTAAAGAAAACCAATTATTCTACCTCTATTGAAATGCGAGTGTTACAATTCATGTTATGGTTTAACAGGACAAGGGTTTTGAAGATGCGAAGCCAGTAGTTGAAGCTCTGAAAAGCAAAGGTATTTCAGCAATCGGAGCTGTAGGCTTTTGCTGGGGTGGTGAGTATATTCATCTCTTGTTTCTTATTATCATATGTTACTGGTGATGTTATGACAACACAATTGTCCACCGTTTTAGTTTCTTTTTGTAATTATCATTATTAGAGCTTTCAATATGCAGGGAGCTGTAAGTTGTAAGTCATACTGTGATTTCTTTCTTTATTAACTCCGGTTATCTATTTTCCTGAATATTTGTTCTATGATTTGTTACTATTATCTGGATGGAAATTCCTTACTTGAGTTAGAAATTTGATGAGCTATTTGTACCTCAGCCAAGGTTGTGGTTGCACTTGCAAAGGAGGAGTTGATTCAAGCTGCTGTGCTGCTACATCCATCATTCGTTACTGTCGATGACATCAAAGGTTTCCATTATCTTTTCTCGCTTTATTGTGTGTGTGTGTTTTTTTTTTTTGAGTAAGAAATACTTCCATCTAGGAAGATGAAAGTAAAGGAAGGCTGCTTCAAATGCATCACGAATCAGACAAGAAATAACCACAAACTAACAAAGAACACCAGAAGAACCTCTGAACACAAACCAAACTATACAAAAACCTCTTTTTTTTTTGTAAGGTCCCCAGTTAGAATCTCAAGTCATTCTATTTGCAAACATTCATCTTCCTCTCCAACTGGATGGAAATAGTTGCCTGAGGACTCGTTTAGGCAATCTTCCTTTCTCTAGCTAAGCACTAACCAAAAGATTAGAAAAACCCACTCGATATGCTACAAGAGAACGAGCGCTTTACCGATAGTTTATAATGATGTTAGTTACTTCTTATAGAAAATGTATGAGTGAGGCTGAACGAACATGCAAGAGTGGTCTCAAAAGGAAGTTCAAGGAGACGATTCTCCCTAATGCAATGGGCCGAGCCAAAAAATCTCATCGTTTTCAAATTCTCCTATTTTTCCGTTATTTCAAGGGAAGGAGGCTAGAAGACCAGCAAGATTGACAAGCCTGACCACTTCAAACCCTTAACCTTCACACTCTCCAAGCTAAATATTTTTCTAACAAAATAAATCTGATAGGAATGCTATAAGGATAGATTTGGTAATATTATCAAGGTATAAGAGTATATTAGTAATTAGCGGAGAAGTTGTTGGAAGGATTTGCTATAAATGGAGTCCGGACAAAAGGATGAAGGCATTGAAGGGCATTGGTTTGGTGTGGTTTAGGCTTGAGTAAGAATACTGAAGAGAGGGGAGGGTCTAAATACCTCGAATTACTTGGGAGCTATTATAGTTCTTCTATCTTTTATCTTTCAATAATTTCTAGTGTTCAGGTTCTATCAAAATCATGAAGAGGAGAGTGACAGAGAAGATAACTTGATTTCCCTTCCATTGATATTTTTGTTAAATCTATGGTTGTCTAATGAGAGGTGAATAAATAAACAACGGTTTCAGTTGTTTTTATTGTACCATTTCAATAAAATGAAACTAAAGGGCGTCGGTTTGTATAATGAGATGCTCCTTTGATGGTTGATTCTCTCTTTTGTTTGAAACTTTTTCCTGATTAGAATGTTTGATATTGAACTGAATGTTTCTCTTGCAAATGAAAATCCCACATTGACTTACCAGTGATACTCTTAATAGTATCAGGATCATTGTAATGATCATTTTCTGTTTTTATGGGAACCAAGTAGCACTGGATGGATGAGAATAGTTAAACAAAAACTAATTGAGTTTAATGTTCGCCAAAAATTGTAGAGGTCAAAGCTCACATTTCAGTACTAGGAGCCGAGATCGACCAGATTTCTCCTCCAGAGCTCTTGAAACAGTTTGAAGAGGTCTTATCTGCAAAGCCTGAGGTAGTGAGGGTGTTCCTTTTTTTCTTCCTCTACTTCATCCAGTTACATTTTTATCATAATGTTTTATGTGAATCTGATCTTCTTGCCCTCCATCACCAAAAACTGATCTATACTTCGACAACAAAAGCAAGTTTCAACTTCCCTAGCTTGTCTTGGGATCTCAAATCTTATGATAATCATGTATAGTGTTTTCAGCTCGATATGCATTTATCCAACTTGAAAAGAGAAGTAATGTATCGCTGGTTCGATGTATAGGTTGATGGGTTCGTAAAGATCTTTCCAAAAGTTCATCATGGGTGGAGTGTGAGGTACAATGTTGAAGATGAAGAGGCTGTGAAACATGCAGAGGAGGCCCATGGGGACTTGTTAGCTTGGTTTACTAAGTATCTTAAGTAATTGAATTCCCAATTTCCAAGCCCCTTGTTAGTGCTGAAGTGTGTTGTATGTTTTTTGGCTCTTTTACTTTAGGTTATCAAGTTGATTGGAACTGCAGCTGCCATGTAATTTCATTGAAAAACAGAGGAATAATAATAATGTCTGCATTTTCCTTTTGTGACATTTTTTTTTACTTTGAACAATAGTTATGGTTATAAGTTCAAAACTAGGAATTAATGGAATTATGGATTTTTTTAACAATTATTTTATTGTAAATAAATATATATTTGTTTCGACAGTAAATTTATAATTAACTTCAAATTATGAGTTGTTTATCTGCCACTGCAGTTGTGAATTTTTATAAATTAACAATATAGACCTATTAGACACAAAAACAAAATAAAAGTTAAAAGAAAAAACTTCAATGAAAACTTTTTATAGTCCAACAAAACACAATCATGAAAGTTTAAATTTATAATTTAAATGTTACATTACCATTTCATTATTTTATTATTCAATTTCAACGACATTATTAAAGGGTGGAAAAGAAATTTGAAACTAACTTTTAAAACATTTGGAAGAAAATATAAAACCTGATATATATACGTTTACATCATTAAAAAAAAAAAATCCAGAATTTCTTTTTCTTTTTCTTTCGGCTGTTCAAAGACTGTACTGTACACACTAAAACCAGAGACGTTGTCAATGTTACTTATCATTTGATTTGATAGCAGACAACCAAATAGGAACACTATTTTATCATTCATATAAGAATTTGCATAGCATCAATTGAATACAGAGAAAAAAAATGTCTAAATCCTAACAGGTCAATGGCTTCCTTTGCTTTTCTTCCAAAATCAGTCAATATAACCTTTGCTTCACACGCCTTCCATTCATATCACTGCCATCTAAAAAGGTCACATTCCCAAATCCAGAAGCAAGAACGTTGTGTTCAGCCACTCTTGCCACATATTGCAGTAGCTCTGTAAGAACAGCAGGGCAGCTTTCCTTCAGATAATCGAACCCATCCGATTGCATCACGGCTGAAAAGTAACTAAAATACTTCAGGGTTTACAATTATACTTGAATACAATGACTCAATTTATGCATATCACCTTTTAGCATAGTACAATTAGGAGAAGGAATAATTACAAAAAACTTAAAAAAACTACTAACTGAATACTCTCTCTATTTTGAGAGTTTTCCTGAATACTCTTTCTATTTTGAGGAATATTTTTTTCCTTTGGATCCATCCTGGCCACAAACACCTAAACTTCACTTGATCCATTTTAACACACCAAAGCAACATTTGATTAAGTTGGAAAAGTTTTATAACGTAACATGCTAACACCATCTCAAAAGATAGAAAGGACATCGAATCAATCATGATCTATGGTATTCAGTGTTGTTTTCCAAAATTAGCAAAGGATTTCATCATCCATTTGTCCGTGATTATAGTACTAATTTCTAAAGACAAGTTCACATCTCGTAGTCCAATGCTGTTAAAACTCTACTTCGGGAAACTGAGTGGAAAGGAACATAATATTTTTTGAAGGGGGTATGGGAGTTGGCTAGATTCTGGCTTCCACTTGATGTATTCTTTCTAGTTCTTTTTGTAATTATTGTTCATTATTGATTTTGGTCTATCGCGGAAGGCTACTTGGGTGGATGGCTATCTACCCTTTCTTTTTCCTTTTTTTTGCTCAGATACAAGGCTATCTACCCTTTTCTGTGAATCCTCTCTTATTAATGAAACTTCGTTTCTTATAGATGGGGAAAACAAGGATGAATCACAGAGAAAAATCTTATAAAAAAGGTTCTTGTTCAAAGGAGCTCAGTAGTTATTACCCTTTCCCCTCCTCCATCCCTACAAATTGAAGTGCCTATTTGTAGCGTCAGTTCACTTCACTGTATATTTTAAAATATTCAATGAAATGTGTGTTTCTAATAAAAATCAAATATACATGTATATCATCTAGTCACCATGGCCTTATATCTCACCATGCCCAGGCATGGCATACTGCACATTTAAACCAGCTTGTGAGACAAGGTAGTATACTTCCCACCTACATCCTTAACTGTCGAAATAAAGGATCGGTATATGAAGCAAAGCAACCAACTGAACTTTTCTATAATAAAAGTTTTCTCAGTGAAACCTTCAATCACCACCAGAAAATCCATCCACCTGAACTTAATCCAACTCCATGACTTCAAAGAAAAAAACCCCTTTCGCAGAAAAGAATTTCAACCCACAGAACTAGCTGGCATGTCTACTTTTGGAGAAAAATATCTGGACACTAAAACACTAAGGACCTCTCTCTAAACTTGTCACACAACCGTGCCAGGAGCCAAGCTCAACTGTAAGAGAAGATGTAAGAACATGGACAGTAAGCAATAAGAAACATAAAGCAATTTAATTCTAGAACATGTTTAGTGCTTACTAAGGAACAACGGGAGTTCAAAATTTAGTCCCTTTCCACCTTATAGACAGGATCCAGTAATTTCTATAAAAAAAAGGTTACGAAGCCATATTAGTGAGTCTAATTTTATAACAAAGGCATACCTTTTAAATTTTCAGGCATGGCTATAAATCTGAGGCATGCAGCTTTCAATTGGAAACAATGGTGCTGCTCTGCTAAAGCTAATGTAGTTGCCACAGTATTTATGGCAATATCTTCACAGAGTTTAGCCTCACAAAGCAACTTAAGCCTATCTAATGCATAACGATCAGCAGCTGCAAGAAGATGCTGAGCCATCAGAGTTGATGCCCACTTAGAATTCGCACCAACAAGCTCTAGCATGTCCGGTAAGTTGTCCCAGTACATGAAATGAAGTAATGCCTGCAGAATCCAATAATAAAAAGAAATGAATAATTAAAAGGTCAGAATTATGCAACATATGTATCCAAATTTCTTCCCTTCTCCAATGGACAGTGGTGGTGTGTTTTGCATCAATAGACTGCCAAGGATTTGGAACACAAAAAGATTTTGAGATTATTTCTGCAACTTTTGGGATGTTGTTAGTCCCTGACGGAAATTTTGCTATGCCGGTGAAGGTTCTTTTGAATCCATGGTTTCAGGATAGTGGGAGACTACTTCGACAGATTTAATCTTTTTGCTATTTTAGTTTATTTTATTAAAGAGGAATTTGACAGTTTCATTGGTAAAGAGGGGTCCTAGAAAGAGGTTTGGATTTTGCCGCGGATATTTTCCCTTAAGACTCTTGGACCAAAATTTTTCCTAATTTTCCTTTTTATTCTTGCAGCCATTTTTTGTAAATTCTCTTAAGGCTCTTTTTCATGGGTCTAGATCTGTGTTTTTGTATTTCATTCATCTTAATAAAAGCTAATTTATAATTAACAAAGAAAAAAAGGAGTAGAATTTAGAAAGAGAGCAAGCAATCTATTCAAATAAATCCACATAATACTATATCATCATGGCATAAACTATAAGCACCACATGTTGCTATACACACATGAATCATGATGATTTCGAAGAATCCACTTTACTGCTAAACTCGTCAATATCACACCAACTGAGCAAAGGTCAACTGATTAAAGCTTTATAATCTCAACCAAAAGGTTAGAGGATCAAGCCCCCGTCCCCACGTATGAACTCAAAGCAAAATCTCATCAATATCATAAATACTAGATTCTTACACTTTTCTAACAATTACACTACCTATTTGCCGGACATTCACACACAAAAACAAGAATAATAATAAAAATAAACAAATGTCCATAAGCTTCCTATCACCCTGTATTACAATGAAGCATTTATTACACACTGAGAACTGAGAAGTGAGCAATTTAAGCAGGTATACAGCACACTAGTATGCTTGAGTCTCTGATGTGCGCCTATGTGCACTTATGTGTTTGTGTAGCGTAGAGATAGAAAGAGAAAGAGAGAGAACCTTAAATACAGGAGCCTCAATGTCCTCAACCTTTATGCATCGAGTATCTTTATCCTTCAATGGGCCAAAAAGTTGTGCTCTGAATACAGGTGAACGTGCTGCAATGACCAACTTGTGGGCTGCAAATGTTTCACCATCTACTTCAAAATTGACATCAGTACACTTTCCACTTTCCAAAAGCTTCCCAAATTGCTGACCGATGTCAGAGGGTGACACTGTTATAGAATAGATTTTAGGCCCCTCTGTTTGTGATTTAACAACACCAACAACACATTGAATTGAGAGGCAATCATCTTTAAGGTAATCTGATGACTCCAAAAGAGTTCTTTTGAAATAACGTTTATAACCCCTGCAAATTCATGAGTGATATTTCTTTTTTCAGCCTTCATAAAATCATTGATAAAACTATTGACACAACTTTAAAATAAGGCACGCACTATATGTAAAACAGAGAGAGAGAGAGCATTGTAAGGTATCTTCCTTAAAAAAAGTTGGATATATCAAGAAAAGAGCCCTAGGGCCTTACAAGAGTCTCCACGGCCAAAAAGAGAGGGCTGGCCTCTCCCCACTATGTTCTCCCAGAACTAACTGAACAGCCCCTTGCAACAAAAGATCCAAAGCATATAAAGACCAACTAACTTGAAGGGGTGAATTCCCTTCTTTACCCCTCCATCTCCGAACATGAGTACTAACTATTTGGGGTCTTACACATTCATATAAACATAAAGTATGCAATTAAAGGACTTAATAATAAAGTACAGACCGCAGGTACCATGATGGAAAAATGAGAGAGAGAGTTCCCAAATGCACAAACATACTTCCATCCATCAAACTCAAAAACTAAGGCCACATGACGGCTGACATAATCTAAATAAAATTCTCAGATACAAAAGCAACTGGCATATTTACAAAATTCTTAAATCCACAAAGACAATCTGTTGGACTCATGAAACAATGCTACCTGGAAAAACCGACAAACACCCAGATATAACATGAAACCCTGAAATCATTTTGAAACCAGCCAGTCTACAAATAGACTATTCTGTACCTTGCATGAAGCGACTGACAACTCTAATGTGGGTTGAAGTTGAACAACTTCTGAAGGACATAGTTTATTCTGTGATAAATTGGTGTTATCAAGTTTAATTAACAAATGAAGCAAATCAATATTGCTATTATTTGACTACTCATAAATTAGGACAATAAGAATTGAAAGAAAAAAAGGTCAAAGCAGAATATATGGCTTTCAAATTTCTGAATTCACAACTATTGATTTAGAGCAGTTTCGCGAGGTTCCAATTCTTTTTTAAAAAGGTGGTACTAGTTTAGGGAGGTTAGTGAGTTTAACTCCGTCCTCATTTAGGTTCAAGGGGTGGTTGTCTCGCTATCTCAGTTCTTCTATGATAACCATGGTGCAGGTCCATATACATCCTCAGTCCTTGACTAATTCCTCAATAAAACCCTATAGAAGTTAGATTTTGACATACTGAGTAGGTCCTATCACTTAAAAGCTACGTAGGATTCCAACTTGCCCCTTTAACTACTAAGCCAACTCACAACAATCAAGTGTAGAGAATTGATCCGTCAGTATATTTCCTTCAAAGTTCATTCTGGGATAAATTGGTGTTGTCAAGTCCAATTACTTCCCCTCTCTCTTTTAGTAGAATTTGGAAGTGAAAGTGCCTAGGACGCTTCAATCCTTGGCATGGATTATGGCCAATGAGAAAATCAATTCTAGTGACACCATCCAAGGAGACACGTTCCTCTTGCTAACAACCTCAATAGTGCATTCTTTGGAAATAATGGAATCATCTGTTACTTTATTGATTCTTTCTCTCCAGAAATCTAGTGCAGTTTGGGTCATGATGGTTCCAGTAGAAGTTGCATGCTAGCTCCCCCTTTTAAGGGATAGGGAAGGAACCTTTCGTAGGTTGACCTTTTGCTAATCATGAATTGGAAGGTATAGAGGAATTTTCAAGAAGAACTTTCTTAAGAGGTTGACATTTATACAAAACCTTGAACACGTTTATGTATCACTTTGGATCTCTAATACCATTTAGTTTGAAAGAAAAACCTTTTAACTAAAAATTGGATGTGCAACGGTGGAGTTCTGAAAGGGGTGATTAGGGTCTCTCTTTGCAGAATGCTCTTCCCGCAGCATCCCATAATCCTTACATCATATGGAATTGAAGATTAACAGCAGAGTTCTGTATATATTAATTAGCTACACTCTGTAGATAGTTATTTATACAGCCTTCCATCCTTATTGGTGATTGTCCAGTTTCCTTTCTGTTTCGGGGTGAAAAGGAAAAACAACTCACAACTGTGGGTTAATGGAATTTAGTTACCAACACATTATTCAGTTGAACAAATAAATAACTAAGTACTGACAATCGTTTAGATCACAAAACCTCTGTTAAGTGTCCACCAACTTACTTAACAGAAAGTAAATATCTATGGGAACTCAATTCACGAAGTTTTCATACTTCCACAACGTACAAGCGGATGATCAGTATTATGAACAATTTGAAAAAAAAATATTCATTAAAGCATAATCCAAATCAATAAGCAAAATAATTACCACATGCTTCCACGATACTTAAGGGTATATGGACCGCTCTCGAGCCTCCTTTCGAAATGGCTATGCACCTTATGATTCCCCTTTCCACTTTGATCCAAGAGCGTCAATTCAAAAAGTGCCCTAACGTCGGCGCCGTCGCTGACAAGCGCTATGAAAATCGAGACATAGGACGCGTTGTCTTCCACACTCTTACCATCGGGATAGAAATATATCGCCCACTCGTACCCGCCGACCATAAACGTATCCGATGTAATGTATTTCCCAATTCCCATACCTTTGTTGAGGGAGTAGCCATTGATCTTGAACCCATGTGAATCATTGACGGTCTCGAACCGGGCGGTAGAAGAGGTCACCGGCGGAGGATGAGACGGCGAAGGATTCGAAGAGGCTTTAGAGGTTTCTCTAAACGGTTTAATTGTGCCCATCAACTAAAAGTTTGGGAAGAACCGATTTTTTTGAAATTTTTGATGTTACTTCCCCAAAAAGGCAGAATTGAAATGGTGTGTTAGGGTTAAAACTTCGAATCGAAGAGGGGTTCGGTAAATTTGGAGCACAAATCAGCTGCAACGACTATGAATATGGGAAGCGGGAGAGTTCCAGAAAACGCTTACGCCGAAGGAGAATTAGGAATCAGAGAAACTATGAGGAACCTGAAGAAATCAATTTGGTAAAGAACAAAAAAAGTCCAAACACGGAAAGTGGAAGATGGAGCTTCGATGAATGGCTTTAATAAACATCAGAATCCGCCATGAAGTTTCTCAATTATCACATGATTAATTAATTAAATCATTCTTTTATTTTCCCTTAATTGATTGAACCTGAATGTCTTTCTTTTCTTTTTTCTTCCCAATTTTGTCCCTTCTTTCTTTTACCAATTAATTAATGTACAATTGTTTTTTCTTTTAAACATTCACAAGTGGGAGGGTTTCCTCCCTGGCAAGTAAAAATATATGAAGCTCCGCTTATTGGATAATGTTATCTTTCCTGTGTTTTCGTTCATGTTTCTCATTTTTTTAAAAATAGACATGTTTGATAACTAAATTCGTTTCTCGTTTCTAAAATTTGAGAAACGTTTCTAAAAAATAGATCAATTTTTAGAAACTACAAAAAGTAGTTTCGTTCCTAACATTCATATTTCTGTATTTTCGTGTGAGGCGTGGTTTAGTTAAGATCCATAACACACGTCGAATTTCAAATAATTATGATGTGGTTGAGCGGCGCCAGTGAAGTCTTAAAATCTATTGCATAGTCCCACGTCCAAAAGTTTAATCCTTAACGTGTGCAAAGTGTTTTT